CCAACGCCAGGCCCCGCCCCCTGGGACCAGGCCCCACCCTCTCGGCACCAAGCTCTTTCTCCCCCACCCGGCTTTTGTTTGCAGTTATTTCCAACGCCGCACTTTCTCCTTCCACATCTTTATCCGTCCTTTTTCCCTTTTCTTTTTACTCTTTCCCCATTCCCCAGCCCTTCTCTTTTCCCCAGACTCTAAAAGGAAAAAAACCCAACAACGATGGAGGAATGTGTGGCAGAGGGTTCCAAGTAATCCTGGTGCCTAGATAGACAACCAGGTGGGATGGCTCTGCCCTGCTCAGAGTGTGCCCACACGCGTATGTAGGGACAACTGTGCCAGACACCCCCATTTTTCACTTCTTAGGGCGTGTGGAGATTTTTCCATGTCAGTACCAGGGGAGCCACCTTGTTCCTGTAAATCTCCGGGGTGGCATCGAACTCTCATATTCCAGTTTGCCTCCTAGCCCGAGCTTGCGGCCTCCCGGGCTTGCTCTGATCCCAAATCTCTCCCTTTCCCTTCTCTCTCACCCGCTCCTCCTAGTTTTTCCAGTTTTCTCTCTTCATCTTTCAGACCCCTGGGTGGCGGGTATCCGTCTGCAGGGCGAGTGCCCTTTCCTGTTCTTAGGCATCTGCACGTGTGTTGGGGGCAAGGGCTTCTTGCTGGAGACTGGCCTGTCCCCTGCGGGGCTGGAGTGAACTCCTCATCCTGAGCCTCGGTGTCCTCTGCAGGGGAACCACAGCTGGGTAGGGGAGCAGGGGACACAGACCTGACCTGCCAGGACACGGGTGGGGGTGGGGCTATTCCTGGGATGGCTCCCTGAGGGTTTAGAGGTCGGCCTGGAACCCTTGTGCCTCTGGCTGCCGAGGAAGGGATGGCGGAAGAATCTGACTGTGCAGCGTCTGAGGCTGAGGGACCTTCCGTGTCACCTCCTCCTGCTCACTGGTGCTTTTCCATCCAACTCCCTGTGGGATTGTCCCTGAAGCCCCAGCATGCTGGTGAGGAAACTGGCCCGGGGACATTCAGTGACTGCTGGGCCCCCTAAATCCCCCCTGCTGGCCCTGCTGGCCCCCTCAAAGGACCACCTTGCTTCTGTTTCAGCTTTCCCGAAAGCCATCCTGGCCCCGTCTGCCATCCTGCAGCCCCGGCAGCCTCTCCCCAAGTCACTCCAGCTGCTTCCAGAGGCAGGCCGGCCTGTGCTGTCCCCAGGACACAGCCCTCCTTCCGGGGCTCCGGGGCCACCAGCCGGAGTCAGGACCACCCGCCTGCCGTCCCCCTCCCCCCCACTCTCCACACCCTCCCCTTCTGTCCCTTCACGGCTGCTCTCCACCCTGGTGGCCACCCCAGGGCTTACGGCCTCCCTGCTGAGGACCCTCAGACCTCCCTCACTCCTCGAGGGAGAGGTGGTAGGAACCCCTTCCTCGCCCAGGGGCCCCGAGGTCCCCCAGCTGACAACTGGGCGCTCTCCTTGCTGGCACCTGGGAGCCATGTATGAATCAGGGAGCCGTTGGACAGAGCCTGGGTGTGCCCAGTGCTGGTGCGAGGTGGGTGTGAGGGGTCCCTGGAGCTGCCCTGGCGTGGCGTCTGGGGCCTTGTGGTGGCTGTAACTCTGGCTTGTTTCCAGGATGGGGAAGTGACCTGTGAACAGGTGAGGTGTGAAGCTGCTTGTTCGCACCCGATTCCCTCCAGAGATGGGAGATGCTGCCCATCGTGCACAGGTGAGAGCCGTGCCAGGAGGGCACTGTCCTGTCTCTCCCCTGCCTCCAAACTCCTGCAGCCAAAAGGCTGTCTCTAACTTTGGTGTATATTAGCATCACTTGGAGAGCTTATTAAAACACAGTTCCTGGCCCCGGGGCAGTGGCTCATGCCTATAATCCTAGCACTTTGGGAGACTGAGGTGGGAGGATTGCTTGACCTCAGGAGTTCGAGACCAGCCTGAGCAACATAGCCAAATCTCCATCTCTACAAAAAAATTTTAAAAATTAACCAAGTGCAGTGGTGCACGTCTGTAGTCCCAGCTACTTGGCAGGCTGAGACGTGAGGATAGCTTGAGCCCAGGCATTTGAGACTGCAGTGAACTATGATCCCATCACTGTACTCCAGAGTGAGACCCTATCTCAAAAAACAAAACCAACAAAAAAATCCGTAGATCTCTGGCTCCCACCCCAGAGTTTCTAATTCAGCAGGTCTGGGATAGGGCCTGAGAATGTGTATTTCTGGCAAGCTCCCAGGTGACACTGACACAGCTGGTCTGGGGACTGCACTTTATCTTCTGAGTCTCCTCTCTGAGCTTCATTCATTCATGTATTCATTCATTCTGTGGGCCTCTCCAAAGCCACTGTGCAGTCCCCTTCCCTTGCCCCAGTTCCCCTTCTCTAGTTCAAGGAGTTGTGATTTCTAAACTCTGTCCTCTTTTCGACTGTCTCCCATCTGCTTGCAGCTCTTCCTCTGCTTCCTGTTCTTTGCCTGTACGTGAATTGCTAGGGCTCTTACTAAAATGCAGATTCTGCCAGGAGTGGTGGCTCAAGCCTGTAATCCCAGCTCTTTGGGATGCCAAGGCGAGAGGGTTGCCTGAGCCCAGGGCTTCAAGACCAGCCTGGGCAACTTGGTAAGACCTCGTCTCCACAATAAAATTTTTTTTTTTGAGTTGGAGTCTCACTCTGTCATCCAGACTGGAGTGCAGTGGTGCGCTCCTGCCACCGCAGCCTCGACCTACTGGGCTCCGGCGATCCTTCTGCCTTAGCCTTCCAAGTAACTGGAACTACAGGCGTGTACTACCACACCTGGCTAATTTTTGATTTATTGTAGAGATGAGGTCTCGCCAAGTTGCCCAGGCGGGTCTCGAACCTGTGGGCTCAGGCAATCCACTCACCTCAGCCTCTCAAAGCGCTGGGATTATAGGCTGAGCCACCGAGCCCGGCTCACAATAGGTTAAAAAAAAAAAAATTAGCTGGGCATGGTGGCACATGTCTATGGTTACAACTTCTTGGAAGGCTGAGGCGGAAGGATCTCCAGAGTCCAGCAGGTGGAGACTGCAGTGGCCATGAGTGTGCCACTGCATTCCAGCCTGGGTGGACAGAGTGAGACTACAGCTCAAGAAAATACAATAAATAAAAGACAGATTACGGCTGGGCGCGGTGGCTCACGCCTGTAACCCCAGCTCTTTGGGAGGCCAAGGCTGGAGGATCATGTGAGTTCAGGAGTTCAAGAACAGCCTGGGTGACATAGTGAGACCTTGTCTCAAAAAAAGAAAACAAAAACAATTTTCAGAAAGCGGATTCTCGTTCAGTAGATCTGGGGAGGGGCCTAAGAATCTTCATTTCTCTGGTGCTCTTGGTGACCTGATGCTCAGGTTCCTGGGTATGGAGAAGCCGGTATAGTCTTCCCGAGAGCCAAAATGGTAGGCCAGATGTGGTGGCTCACACCTGCAATCCTAGTTTAGCTGGGCATGGTGGCACTTGTCCATGGTCCCAGCTCCTCAGTAGGTTGAGGTAGAAGGATCGCCTGAGCCCAGCAGGTGCTCAAGGCTGTGGTGGCTGTGAGCACACCACTGCCCTCCAGCCTGGGTGACACAGTGAGATTCCAACTCCGAAAAAAAAAGGGGGTAAAAATGGAAATGTACTTATTGATTTTCTTTTTGAGTTGGAGTCTCACTCTGTCACCTTAGCTGGAAAGCAATTGCTTGATCACAGCTCACCGTAGCCTCCAACTCCTGGACTCAAGAGATCCTCTTGTCTCAGCCTCCTGAGTAGCTGGGACTACAGGCATGAGCCACCCTGCCTGACTAAATTTTCTATTTTTTGTAGAGACAGAGTCTCGTTGTGTTACCCAGGCTAGTCTTAAACTCCCGAGCTCAGGCAGTCCTCTCACCTGAGCCTCCCAAAGTGCTGGGATTACAGGTGTGAGCCACTGTGCCTGGCCAGTATTTCCATTTTACAATGAAGACAACTGAATCCCAGCAAGGCTAGCTGACATGTCCAAGACCACTGAGGTAAACTGAACTGACAGGCCAGGTTTTGGACCCAGGCTGCCTCTCCTGCCTTCTGGAAATAAAATGCCATGTTCTCTAGACAGCTGTGGGTTTATGAGGCATGAACCCTGGGCCACCGAGCCTGATCCTTGCAGATGTCACCTGGGTAGTTCCACAGGGGTCCTGGAACCACACAATCAGGGCACCTGAATTTGCCATTCCTGGGCCTTCCGGGGCAGTGAGAGAAGGTTCCAAGTGCTTTATGCCTGGAAAAGGAGTGGGACCTCAGGCGTCTCCTTTGAAGAGGTCTGATGCCTCTGCCTCCTGCTTGCCTTTCAAAGGCTGTTTTCACAGTGGCGTCATCCGAGCCGAAGGGGACGTGTTTTCACCTCCCAACGAGAACTGCACCGTCTGTGTCTGCCTGGTAAGCATCACAAGAGCTCCAGAGCCTTGTGGCTGTTTGTTTAACCTTTAGGGGTTTCAGAGGAAAGGGAAAAAGACCAGATGTTAAAGGTGAGAGCTTGTTGAACGGAAGGGAGAGTTCTTCAGGTTGTGGAATTTGCTAGGATTTACAAGGGTAGGGAAAGTATAAGACCTGAAGGTGGAGTCAGGGAGGCTTCTGCCGAGCAGAACAGAGCCAACAGGCAAACAGGGTCCATCTGTTCAGGAAAGGGAGGGGAGGGGATGACCCTCCTTTGGAAATGTCCCACCAGGGAGACTGTTTTTCTCTCCAGGCAAAATATTTGGCAGCAAAAGAAAGGTCTCCATGTTTGGGAAGGAGAAGTCTCATGACTCCCTCCACGTTTGGGAGGGAGAAGGCTCATGTCTTGGGCCAGGTGTGGTGGCTCACACCTATAATCCCAGAACTTTGGGAGGCTGAGGCGGGAGGATTGCTTGAGCCCAGGAGTCTGAGACCAGCCTGGGCAACATAGTGAAACCTCGTCTCTACTAAAAAAAAAAAAAGCTGCATGTGGTGGTACGCACCTGTAGTCCCATCTACTCAGGAGGCTGTGGCAGAAGGATCGCCTGAACCCAGGAGGTCAAGGCTATATGAGCTGTGATTGTGTCACTGACCTCAACTCAAAAAAAAAAAAAAAAGAGAGAATATTTTGCTTTGGGTAAATTCACTCCTCCAAGAATAGTTATTAAGTACCTACTGTGTGCAGGCACCACCAGGTGCTGTCATGCGTGTTTGATTATGAGCCAGGCCTAGGTTGGTGCCTCTCATGTCTTTCTTTACTGCGTCTCTGGGCACAGGATCAGTTACTACAGGTGAAAAGACTCAGCCAGGTGCAGTTTCTCAATGCCTGTAATCCTGACACTTTGGGAGGTGGAGGCGAGAGGATTGTCCAAGTCCAGGGGTTCGAGACCAGTCTGGGCCACTTGGTGAGCCCTCATCTCTATAATAAATCAAAAAATAGACTGGTCGTGATAGTGCACGCTTGTAGTTCCAGCTACTTGGGAGGCTGAAGTGGAAGGATCATCTGAGTCCAGCAGGTCAAGGCTGCGGTGGCCGTGAGCAGCATGCCACTGCATTCCAGCCCAGGTGACAAAGTGAGACTCTGACTCAAAAAAAAAAAAAAAGAAAGAAAAAAGGAAAGACTGAGGCTGGGAGGTGGCAGAGCTGGGATTTGAACTCTGTCTGAGCAACAAGTCCGGGCTCTGTTCTCCAGCCCTCACTGCCACCCTCTGACCATCTTCAAAAGTGGCTCCTACTCTGGCATCGAAGGTGAAGCTGTGGCTGAGATCAGGCCTATGTAGACAGCTTCCGGTGCCCTTATTGAGCGATTCCTGTGTGCCGTGTAAAAGCGGAATGGTGCACTTTCATGTGTGACTTCATGGCACGTCATACTCGGTAACTTCTGGGAAAGGTGCCAATTCTACCCCCATCTCACAGATGGGGAGACTGAGGCTCAGGGGTGTGATGTGATCTGAAGTCTCTTTAGTGGAGAAGCAGATGATGGAACTTAGGTCTGGCTGACTCCAAAGTTGGGGGCTTTTGATCTTTTTAAATTTTATTTATTTTTTTGAGACAGGGAACTCTGTTTCCTATTCTTTGCCTGCACGTGAACTGGTGGGGCTCTTACTAAAATGCAGGTTCTGGCCGGGCGCGGTGGCTCACACTTGTCATCCCAGCATTTTGGGAGGCCGAGGCTGGAGGATTGCGTGAGTTCAGGAGTTCCAGAGCAGCCTGGGCAACATAGTGAGACCCTATCTCAAAAAAGGAGAAAGAAAATGATATTTAGAAAGCAGATTCTCATTCAGTAGGTCTGGGGAGCGGCCTAAGAATCTTAGGCGAGAGTGACACCGTCATGGCTCATTGCAGCCTCGACCTACTGAACTCAAGCAAACTGCCTGTCCCAACCTCCTGAATAGCTGGAACCATAGACTAGCTGGGAATATAGGCATGTGCCAACATGCCCAGCTATTTTTTTTTTAAAGAGGATCTTGCTATGTTGCCCAGTTGGTCTTGAACTCCTGGCCTCAAGCAGTCCTCCTTCCTCTGTTTCGCAAAGTGCTGGGATTATAAGCATGAGCCACCACACCCAACCAGGGCTTTCTGGTCTTAAAGTCAAATTTTTTTTTTTTTTTTTTTTGCGTTGGAGTCTCACTCCATCGCCCAGGCTAGAGTGCAATGGCATGCTCACGACCACCCCAGCGTCAACCTGCTGGGCTCCGGGCAATCCTTCCACCTCAGCCTTCCAAGTAACCAGAACTACAAGCGTGTGCTACCACGCCCTGCTCATTTCTTGATTTATTGTAGAGACGAGGTCTCGTCAAGTTGCCCGGGCTGCTCTCAAACCTGTGGGCTCAAGCAGTCCCCTCGCCTCGGCCTCCCAAAGTGCTGGGATGACAGGCTGAGCTACCATGCCCGGCCAACATCAAATTCTAAAAACTTATTTTGAAATTTAATTCTTTGAGTAGCCAGTCGGAGCCAGTTTATTCACAACTTGGAGGGGGCTTAGGGGGAGTGTGTGAGCCTCCTTCCGTGCAGGGTCATCTCTGGTCTCTGAACCCTTCCAGAGCTTCCAGGCACATCTGCATAAGGAAGCACGCTCTGCCCCCTGGCCTGCCCTCGCCTTTTTCATGTGGCAAGGTGGGGATTTTTTTTTTTTTTTTTTGAGTTGGAGTCTCACTCTGTTGCCCAGGCTGAAGTGCAGTGGCACGCTCATGGCCACTGTAGCCTCGACCTGCTGGATTCAGGTGATCCTTCCGCCTCAGCCTTCCAAGTAGCTGGAACTACAGGCGTGCGCCACCACGCCCTGCTAATTTTTTGATTTATTGTAGAGATGAGGTCTCACCAAGTTGCCCAGGCCTGGCCTCGAACCCGTGGGCTCAGGCAATCCTCCCGCCTCACTTTCCCAAAGTACTGGGATTGCAGGCATGAGCCTCCACGCCCAGCCAGCAAGGGGTACATTCTTAACCACAGAGCATGTCCCTGTGATCACGGCAGCGTTTAGAGTTCCCTGAGGGCCTCTTGAGAGCTGTACTGTTGGGAAAGCATGGTGTGAAACAGGGAAGGAGCCCAGGGTTGCCCTCACAGCCCTGAAGCTGTCTCTTGTCCCTCTTCAGGCCGGAAATGTATCCTGCATCTCACCTGAGTGTCCCCCCGGCCCCTGTCAGGCCACCCCACAGTCGGATTGCTGTACTTGTGTTCCAGGTAAGTGACACTCCTGGGGGCATTTTGCTTTTCTGAGCGTGCAGGGTAGGTATGTGTTTAGAGCATGTGGTGGGGTGGGCAGGGTGAGTGACGGAGAGAGGAGGGAGGTGGTTTCTGCTTTAGAAACTGAGATCTAGTGAAGCATTTCAAATGCCCATTTTTGTTTTTGAGTCAGGGTCTCTGTTGCCTAGGCCGCAGTGGCACAATCATGGTTCACCGCAGCCTCAAATTCCTTGGCTTAGGCGGTCCTTCCACATCAGCCTCCTGAGTTGCTGGGATTACAGGCGTGCACTTGGCTAATTTTTTTTATGTTTTGCAGAGACGAGGTCTCGATGTGTTGCCCAGGTTGGTCTCAAACTCCTGGGCTCAAGCAGCTCTCCTTCCTCGGCCTCCCCAAATGCTGGGATTACAGGTGTGAGTCACCGCGTTCAGCATAGTGCCCTGATTTTTTTTTGAGTTGGAGTCTCTCACACTGTCGCCCAGGCTGGCATGCATTGGCATGCTTACAGCTACCTCAGTCTCAACCTGCTGGGCTCAGGCGATCCTTCCATCTCAGCCTTCTAGGTAGCTGGAACCACAGGCATGCACCACCACACCTGGCTCATTTTTTGATTTATTATAGAGATGAGGTCTCGCCAAGTTGCCCGTGGACTCAGGCAGTCCTCTCACCTCAGCCTCCCAAAGTGCTGGGATTATAGGCTTGAGCCACCGCACCCGGCCAGTGACCTCTTTTTAGTGAGCACCTACCATGTGCACAGCAGCTGGATGCTAGACCTTGCTTGCTTATGTCCCAGCCTGTCCCCTGCCCAAGGCGTCTTGAGCGTAGGCAGGAGGGGATTTGACTCCATCCTGGGCATTGCTGTGTCTCAGGGTGCGGCAGGGGAGGGGGCTCTCCTTAAGTACTAGCAAGTTGGTCCTTTGTTAAACTCATGCCTCCCTTTCCTGGGACGGCCTCGTCATGGTCACGGATACTCCCTGCTGGCCCCGTGCCCCTGCCGCGTGAGACGCTTGCTGGCACCTAATTTCACTGAATCTTTACATGGCCATACGTAGATGAGAAAACTGAGACCTCAGGCGGTCAAGACATTGCCCAGAGACACACAGCCAGTTAGTAACGGACCAGTACTTACACTCAGGTCTGCCTGAATTCAGAGCTGGTGTCTCTTTAGGCCGCTTTTTCCCTTTGGTTTTTTTTTTTGATTCGCGGTCTCACTCTGTTGTCCCATTCCGAGACCTTTGTCTTGGACATCGGGGGCAGTTTCTCTTCTTTTTTTTCTTTTACTCTTTAGTTATTCAGGGCTTCCCCTGCCTCTTTGGAAGGGCCTCACTTTTTTTGTGCTTCATTCTGGTTTTTGTTTGTTTTTTGTTTTGAGACAGGGTCTCGCTTTGTCTCCCAGGATGGAGCACAATGGCACGCTCACAGCTCACTGCAGCCTCGACTTCTGGGCTCGGACCATCCTCCTGCCTCAGCCTCCTGAGTAGCTGGGGCTACACTCGCATGTCCCCAGGCTAACTTTTAAAATTTTTTTTTGTAGAGATGGGGGTCTCACTATGTTGCCCAGGCTGGTCTCAAACTCAGTCGTCCCACCTCAGCCTCCTAAAGTGATGGTATTACAGGCATGAGCCACCGCACCTCGCAGAAAGAACTCTGTTGGTTTCTGAGTAGTGACTTAGTTTGTGTCTTGGGTTACAGGGGAGGAAGTGCCTTGGGCTCCAGGGCACGGAGCGTGCTGTGGACCGTTGTGGGCTGCCCCGACCCCCACCCCCTCGTTCCCCTTTTTCTTTAGCTGCTCAAAGGCCTTGAGCTGCTTCTCCCTTTCTCTTCTGCAGTGAGATGCTATTTCCACGGGCGGTGGTACGCGGACGGGGCCATGTTCAGTGGGGGTGGTGACGAGTGTACTACCTGTGTCTGCCAGGTAGGGCGACTGAGCGTCCTGGAGCCTGTGGAGCTGGGTGACTCGGGGAGTGGGGCAGGACACAGAACTATACCCAGGATGACGACCAGGAGAAGGATAACCTGCCGTGCAGCGAAGGGAAACTGAAGCAGCACAGCAGTCACAGAGTTCTCCTAGGATTTCCTACAGTCGTCTTCAAGTTCAAGTTCATCCTTCAGCATTCCTTTTTTTTTTTTTTTTTTGAGTTGGAGTCTCACTCTGTCGCCCAGACTGGAGTGCAGTGGCAGGGTCACAGCCACCGCAGCCGCCACCTACTGGGCTCAGGCGATCCTTCCACCTCAGCCTTCCAAGTAGCTGGAACTAGAGGCACGCACTACCATGCCCGGCTTATATTTTGATTTATTGTAGAGACGAGGTCTCACCATGTTGCCCAGGCTGGTCTCAAACCCCTAGGCTCAACAATCCTCTTGCCTCGGCCTCCCAAAGTGCTGGGATGACAGGCTGAGCCACTGTGCCCGGCTAGCACTGCTATTTATAGAGCACCGACTGTGTGCTGGGGGCAGGGTTAAGCACAAGACAGCCCTGGCCCTCTGGGTCAGGAAACCCACAGCCTAGGCGGGTGATGACCAGGTAACTGGGGTTCCTGAAGCCTTTTTGCAGGGCAGGGTGCTGAGTGGAGGCCTGGAGGATGGCGGGGACTGATGAGGTGAGGAGCTGAGGGCGCCATGCCCGGCAGAGGGCAGAGGACGAGACGGCCTTTGTGGCTGGAGCACAGAGGGGGATGGAGTGGAGGCAGGAGGGCAGGGTGCTTAGTGGAGGCCTGGAGGATGGCGGGGACTGATGAGGTGAGGAGCTGAGGGCGCCATGCCCGGCAGAGGGCAGAGGACGAGACGGCCTTTGTGGCTGGAGCACAGAGGGGGATGGAGTGGAGGCAGGAGGCCAGGCTGCACGCAGAGGCCATGTCTAGGCTTGGGCTAGAAGCAGGGTCTGTGTAGGGACTTCCCAAGGGAGTGCTCCCAGGAGAAACCGTTGAGGGCTGCGGGCGGGCACGGGAGGACGCCCGACAAAGCTGTGGACTCAACCCTGGTCCAGGGGGAGCTCTGGAGGGTGGGCCATGCCAGGGATCTGTGTCAGTGTGTTATATAGACTCGGTGTGCTCCCCAGGGAGTCCTGGGCGGGCGGAGTGACCATCCAGGCCTCCCTGGAAGATGCAGCTCTGTCAGCCAAGGATAGTCCTTTTTTTTGTTTTTGAGTTGGGATCTCGCTCTGTCACCCAGGCCAGATGGCAGTGGCACAGTCTCGGCTTACCGCAGCCTCGACCTCCTGGGCTTAGGTGGTCCTTGTGTCTCAGCTTCCTGAGCAGCTGGGACTACAGGCATGTGCCACCATGTCCGGCTTATTTTTTAAAATTTTTGTAGAGACGTCTTGCTATGTTGCCCAGGCTACTCTTGAACTCCTGGGTTCCTCCTGCCTGAGCCTCCCAAGCAACTGAGACTACAGGCACACGCCACCATGTCTGGCTCAATCTTAAAATTTTTTTGGTCTCACTGTGTTGCCCAAGCTGATCTCAAACTCCTGGGTTCAAGCAGTCCTCTCGCCCTGGCCTCCCAAAGTGCTGGGATTACAAGTGTGAGCCCCCATACCTAGCCCCCAAAGGCAGTATTTGAGGAGGGGACCTGGGTGAGTTCTGATACAGTCCTGAAGGGCTCTGCTAACTCACTAAGGGCTTTGGACTCCACAAGGCTGTAGAAAGCCTTTATCCGGTGGAGTGATGGACCACTTGGGTGCCCAAGAAAGTTCTCTGGCTGCAGAGCGAGAGCAGGTTGGAAGAGCCAGAGTGGAAGGCAGTGGTAGGGCTCAGATGAGAGCATATTTCATTTTATTTTGCGTAGGTGGAGTCTTGCTGTGTTGTCCAGGCAGCAGGGAGGCTGGGAGATGGTGGCGGCCCTGCACACTCCCTGGACCTCTCCCAGCCTCACTTCACTGGCCCCCAGTGAAGGACTCGCCCATCCCTCCCTGCTTCCTGGGGATTTCTTTGTCACTTTCGCTTGAGGGGTCGGAGGGCCGTGGCAGCCTGCCGGCCCCCTCGGTGGCCCGGTGGGGAGCTGCCCTCACTGGCCCGTGGCCCTCGGCTCTCTTGCAGAGTGGGGAGGTGGAGTGTTCCTTCACCCCATGCCCGGAGCTGGCCTGCCCCCGGGAGGAGTGGCAGCTGGGCCCAGGACAGTGCTGCTTCACCTGCCGGGAGCCCACGCCCACCACAGGTAAGCCGCCCCGGCTGCGGCCGGCACAGGGCTTGACGACCCGGAGGGGTCAAGTGTGTGTGTCTGTGTGTACATGTGGTGTGTGTGTGTGTACATGTGTCTTTGCGTATTTGTATATGTCTGTATTTTGCATAGTGTGTCTGTGTGAGCGTACGTCTGTGTATGTGAGTTGTGTCTATGTGAGTTGTGTCTGTGTGAGTGTGTTTTGTATCTATTGTGTCTATACGTGAACGTGTAAATGTATGTTTGTACGAATGTGTCTGTGAGTATAAGTTTGCCTCTGTGTGTTTTTGTGTGGATGTGCCTGTGTGGGCATGCGTGTTTGTTGTGTCTGTGAGTATATAAGTGTACATTTGTATGAGGGTGTCTGTGAGTATAAGTTTGTGTGTCTGTATGTGAGTGGTATTTGTGGCTGTGGGTCTAGGTGTACGTTTGTATGAGTGTGTCTGTAGTGTCTGTGTGTCTGTGTGTGTATGAGTGGTAGGTGTACGTTTGTATGAGTGTGTGAGTGCATTTGTGTTTGTGTGTGTGTGAGTGGTATCTATGTGTGTATCTGTCATGTCTGTTGAGTAAGTATAAGTGTGTGTGTGTTTGTTTTGGTTTTGTTTTGCTTTGTTTTGAGTCAGAGTCTCACTTTGTCGCCCAGGCTAGAGTACAGTGGCACACTCATGGCCACCGCAGTCTCAACCTGCTGGGCTCAGGCGATCCTTCTGTCTCAGCCTTCCAAGTAGCTGGAATTACAGGCATGCGCCACTACACCTGGTTAATTTTTTGATTTATTGTAGAGATGAGGTCTCACCAAGTTCCCAGGTTGGTCTCAAACTCGTGGGCTCAGGTAGTCCTCTCACCTCGACCTTCTGGAGTGCTAGGATTATAGACGTGAGCCACTGTGCCCGGCTGTGTGTGTGTGTGTGTGTGTGTGTGTGTGTGTGTGTGTGTGTGTGTACGTAACTAGTATCTGTGTGAGTATGTGTGTTTGTGTGTAAGTGCACATTTGTATGAGGGTGTCTGTGAGTGCGTTTGTGTGTCTGTGTGAGTGGTATCTGTGTGGGCGTATGCGTTGTCTGTTCTTGGTGGAGGCCACTGGAGGCCATGTGGCCACATCTCTCCTCCGTTTGTCCCCGGCCAGGCTGCGCTCTGGACGACAACGGGGTCGAGTTTCCGGTTGGACAGATTTGGTCGCCCGGCGACCCCTGTGAGTTGTGCGTCTGCCAGGTGAATGACAACCTGCTCGCCTTCAGTGGCTTCACCCCTACCCTGCCTGTGCACCAGTCCCAGGTCCCTGCCCTGCAGAGGCTGGGTCCCTCAGGCCGGCTCAGTCTCTCTCCGGGCTGTCAGGTTCCACTTCTGTAGGAACCGTTGGGGGCATAGCCACTCCTGTCCTCAGGAGAGGTGTCAGGACAGTGGAGCTCGGCCGTTACCTTAAGAATTGTGTGACACATTGCACTTGTGCAGGGGGCTGCTTGGCACGGGGGGTTGGAACAGGGGTCCCCATGGGAAGCTGTCCTGGGGTGTGGATAACTGAGGGGACGGGCAGCCCAAGACCTGAGTGTTCAGCCCATTGCTATGAAATTGCACCGTTTTCTTCCTGAACCATGACTCATGTGACCTCGCCTTTTCAGAAATGGGCAAGGTACAGGCGTTTGAGAGCCTGATGGACAGCGGTGCAGACGCAGTGACTGACCAAGAAACAATAGTCTTAGCCTCCTTATTTAAGTACACACTGGCTTTCCTTTCTGCTTTATGTATTTATTTATTTTGAGAGGGGCTGGAGTGCAGTGGTATGATCAGAACTCACTGCTACCTCAACTTCTTGGTCTCAAGCGATCCTCCCACCTCAGCCTCCCGAGTTGCTAAGACTACAGGTCTGTGTCACCATGCCTGGCTAATTTTCTCATGTTTATTTTGTAAAGATGGGGCCTTATTATGTTGCCCGGGCTGGGGTCTGGAGCTCCCGGGCTCAAGTGATTCTCCTACCTTGGTCTCCTAAAGTGCTGAGATCATGGATGTGAGCCACTATGTCCAGCCTTTTTTCTACTTTATTTTTTTTAATTGTTTTTATTTTTTCAGGTGGAATCTCACTCTGTCGCCCAGGCTAGAGGGCAGTGGTAAGCTTACAACCACCGCAGCTTTGACCTGCTGGGCTCAGGTGATCTTTCTGCCTCAGCCTTCCAAGTAGTGGTAACTATAGGCATGTGCTACCACGCCCAGCTAATTTTTTGATTTCTTGTAGAGAAGAGGTCTTGCCAAGTTGCCCAGGTTGGTCTTGAACCTGTGAGCTCAGGCAGTCCTCTCACCTTGGCCTTCCAGAGTGCTGGGATTTTGTGTGTGAGCCACTGCACCTGGCCTCTTTTTTTCCTACTTTCAAAGGGCTTTGCAACCCTTACAGGTTTATTTCTGAAAATGAAATCCTTATCTGAGCATCGTGGTCGGCATTCCCCGGGATCCCCTTTCAGACATGTACCCTCTCAGGGCCTGGCCCAACCCCTACACACTCACAGCTCTCTGGGTAACTTGTGTGCCCTGTCATGTGGGAGAAGCCCAACCTGGGAGCCTTGGAACCATTTGTTAAAAACTGTAGATCCTTCCAAGGCTCAGGCATGTCTCACCAGAATGAGAGTTGGGAGAACAATCTCTCCTGCGCGCTAATTTTCTCTCTCTCTTTGTTTTCGGGTTTTTTGTTTTTTGTTTTTTTTTTTTGAGTTGGAGTCTCACTCTGTCGCCTAGACTGGAGTGCAGTG